AAGATTTTGAAAAATTTAAAGCCCTACTCAAATCTTCAGTCTGGGTTTTTCTGGGTCTTTCACAGTCTGACTACAATCTATTTTTTCTAACCTTGCTTCATGATGCTTCCCTTCACACATTTTACACTGCAGCAAAACCATTTTACAAGTTGTTGCCCATAGCAATTAACTTCCCTTGCCCCCTGTATTTGCATAATCTATCCCACAAGCACAGAATGTACTCCCTCCTCATCTCTGTAAGAAATCAACATTTTCCTTTATGATTCAGCTCTGGTACATGTTTTCTGTGAATACTTTTCTAAGCTCTACAGCTGTCAGAGTCATTTCAATGAGATCTCAGGCATGGATCTACTTTTCTTCCTTGGCTTATAAGATGTAGTCATTGAATCTCAAGGATTTATTTTAATATCTTTTTTTTTCAACCAGACCTAGGATTTCATAGCATTCTATACTCCTGATAAGAAAACTCCCTCTTTCCCAAGGGAGAACATCACCTGATCTTGGGTGTGTAGTCTAAGAGTTGCCTGTGTTCAAGTAGTGCCCTGACACAGATGATGTGTTTAACATAGACAAATCACTTAACTTCTAAATCCCCTAAACAATTCTGTAAGATTTATAAGATAATAAGGAAAAATAGTGTCACGTATGAGAATCTGAAATGAAATGATTTTTGCAACTGAAACCTCAAGAAATATATACATGTCCTCACAACTGACTTAATTTTAAAATCCATCCTAGTCTTATCCCACAAAACTATGATTTCTTTTACTCATTGATAAAATTTCCCAGGACCAATCTATGTGTTCCAGGATTACACTAAACCCAAGACAAGAGAAGTCTATACAGGGTTTATTAGAGAAAAGAGGAGCCATACCATACAACAAGATTGAGGAACATATAAGAAAACTCAAAACTCTCTCCAAACTCTCTTCACCATTCTGGTCTGTTCTCTCCTCTTTCTTTCCTCCTTTCATGTCTCTCTTCTTCTCTCTCCCTATCTCTTTCTCTCCTCCTTTCAACCTTTCTCCCTTTCTCTTTCTCTCTCTTTGCCCCTCTTTTTCATCATCCCTCCCTCCCTCCATCTAACAGAAGGCATTTATATAAATTCTGAACAAACGCAGTCAGAAAGGATTTAAGTTCAACCTATAGGACAGATCTGCATATAAGGAGAGTATGGCAGTTCTCAGGAAGAAATCACAGGATCACAGATTTAGAGATGAAAGGGAACACATAGGCTCTCTTGTCCAACCACCTCATATGCAGATGAAGAACTAAGGCCCACAGAGATTAAGTGATGTTTCCAAAGTCTAACAAGTAGTATAAGTGATATGAACAAAAATTTTCTAAAACTGTATATTATTTGGAAGGCAATGAGGTGAGACAAAGAAGTGGTGCTCAGATCAAGTGAGTTTAGTTCTGTTCTCAGGTATGAAACATATTACTTGCATAACACAGACCAGTCCATTTAGCCTCTCTGAACTTGTTTGCCCATCTGTAAAATAGGAAAAATAATATTTGTACTACTTACCTCATAGGGTAGTTGTGAAGAAAACACTTTGTAAACCTTAAAACACTACATAAATGTGTTATTATTATTTTCACCATAGACCTATCTGGAAAGTAACTTATTTCAGTGAAAAACAGCTTATTTAGAAAGAATAAGTCAGTCCAAACCATTGGCTGGTAACATGCAGCAAAGACCCTTAGGGAATTTTCTCTAGAGATTTGTTCATGTGTGTCTTATAAACTATGTGAATGAGAAGTATAGGGATTAGTTCTCTATTTCCACTGGGAAAAAGAACACATTTTAAAGTATTTGTAATTTCTACCATATGCCCCTGGGCACTAACTGAATCAATACACACAAAAGTGGGTTTTTCAGTATGGTTCTGAAGAATAATTGGATACAATTAGCCCTTTGAATCAGATTTTTTTTAAAGCTGCTGTTACAACTATACCAATTACAATACAAGGGAATTTCAATATTGGGCCCCTAAGATTTTTCTGGGGAGATCAGTTTAATATGTTACTCATCAGATTACAAGGGCAAATTGTTTAAAGATTATATCGATCTTGCTTTACCTTTGCTGATGTAACCATGGTTCAGTCAATTTGTCTTTTCAGGAGATACTGGTGTAGAAAGATGCTTTTAGCTAAGACTGGCATGGTGTCAGCCTTTCATTTATTACATACAAGACCTGAAGTTTTTAATCACAGGATAGGAGTTCAATATGAAGATCAACTTTACTATAACAAAGCAATAACCATAAAATAAAAAAATATGTCTCTGCTGGGATAAGATTCACTTTTTATAGCAGCTTGGTGCTGCTTTAAATTAAAAGCAAGATGATTGCATTAGGATCAGAATTAAAGCAAACTACTTTAAGGAAGGGCTGCCAAGCAGGAAGGAAAAAGCAGACCTGAGTTTAATTCTTGTCTTAGGTATTTAGTAGTTGTGTGGCCCTGGGCAAGTCATTTAGCCTCTCTGAAGTTCAGTTTCCTCATATGTAAAATGAAGATGATAGTAGAACTTGTTTCATATGGTCATTATGAGGAGAACATATATAAAGTGCTGTCCAAGCCTTAAAGAATCATATAAATTCTATTACTAAAATAATGTTTTATTTTGTTCTTAGACATAAAGAAAAATATGTTTTCTAAATTTAATCCTGAAGTCACATTAGAAAATAAAATAGACTTTAAAAATATTCATTAATTTTCATTTCAGTCATTCAGTATGTATGTATTTATTAAGTACCTACTATATGTCAAACACTTTACTAGAGATAGATAAAAGTAAAAAAGTCCCTACCCTCAAAGAATTTAAATTCTAATAGACAAAACAACACACACATACACGTATGAAGAAAATATTCAAATGACTATAAGATAGTATGGGGAAGGAGGGCCCTCGTAGATGAGAGGATGAAGAAAGCATTCATGCAGAAGCTGCCACCTAAGCTAGTCTTCAGGAGGGGGTACCATGAATAGGGAATACCAAGCAGGACCAGAAAGGGAGGAAGGAGCCAGGTTTTGAAGAAATTTAAATGCTAAACAGTAGAGTTTATATTTGACCTTAGAGATAATAACCACTGGAGTTTATTGAGTGGGGTGTGATCAGGTTGTCACTTTCACAGCTCTCTGGAGGAAGAATGGTGGTGCCCTTGACAGTAATAAACAATTTGAAATGAGCGAGGAAGACTATGAATGCTACTGTAATTGAAGCCATTTTAATTGGGCTTCCACTGAAGCCTGGGGCTGCGATATTGGGGAGGGAGATACGACTTCTATCTCCAGATCTGACTAATTTGACTCCAGATTGAGAGAATGCTGAGGCTATACTCTAGGTCTTTGTGAGTGGTGGAATTGGTACCAAAGCCAGGAAGAGAAAGCAACGTGGCTTTAGACACTCTCTTGGAGACATACCATAAAGTCTTAAGCTTCAGACATTTAGGGGAAGCCAGCTCTTCAACTTGCCCTGATTTCTAGCTTGCCTCCTTAGAAACTTTAGGGCTCCTCCTTGGGTGAAATCAAGGCCTCTTTCTTAGTTTGAGCTGAGATATCTCATTCCAACTGGAAGACTTATTCCCTTTTAAATATTTTCTGGCTTATTCTAATCTGTAAAACTCTGTTTGATGCTTTCTTGGATCAATGAGGTTACTCTATTTGCTATTTGTGATAGTCTTTTGTACAACCAGTTTGGTGCAAAGGAACCAAGTTGGTGTGTAAGCTAAGGAAGGGATAGGAACCAGAAAAGTAGCTTTTGTTAAGAACAAGACTGGTACCCCTAGACTAGCAATATTCTTTTTGGTGGGGGAAGCTAGAAAGATCTGTCAAGCTCAAAACTCATTATCAAGGAATGACCAAGTCTCAGCTTCTCTTGTTCCCCTCAAGGTAGATATTATAGACTCCCCTGGAGAAGCATGGGCCAGAATCCAAAGATATGCATTCATGCCATCCTTAAGCTGCACATTTATGCTTTTAGACAATGCATGTGGACACATACAAATCTTACACTATGAACCTATTCCTCATATTTCAACATGGAGCATCTTCGAATAAATAGGTCTTCACAAAGACCTATGAATAGAGAGGAAGAATGGTTTTAGTGAAAATGAATAGAAGGTAAAAACCAATAGGAATAAAATTCATGGAAGAAGGAGGAAATGAAAGAGAATTCATATTTTGAGAATTTAAGATACTGGAAGTTTCACTATGGAAAGAGTTCAAAATTTTACCCCTAGAGGTAAGTTAGATAGATCAGGGTAATTATTAGCAAGATTATTGCAGTTTATAGAGGTGAGCAAATAAACATCAAAAATCTTAAATAACCTATAATGTCTTTATGTTTTACTTTAAACAAATCATTTCTTAATTCTATCTCCTCCCATTTTGTGAATTATATTAAACTACTATTTTATTCTCTCATTTGGATGTAAATCATTATTAGTCTCTTATAGGTGGGTATATGGTATGGCGGATAAGATATTGGAGGTATTTGGAGTCAAGGCAAGTCCTGACTTAAACACCTATTTGTTGTGAGATCATGGGTAAGTCATTTAATGTCTCAGCTCCTCAGACAAGTTACCAAGACTATATAAGACAAATTATATTAGTGGAATAAATTTCCATGTGGAGGGTTACTTTCAACATTGAGATTACTGGGTATGGAAGGAAGGAAAAGGAAGGAAGGAAGAAAAGAAAGAAAGAAAGAAAGAAAGAAAGAAAGAAAGAAAGAAAGAAAGAAAGAAAGAAAGAAAGAAAGAAAGAAAGAAAGAAAGAAAGAGAGAGAGAAAGAAAGGACAGAAGGAGGGAGGAAGGGAGGGAAGGAAAGAAGGAAGAGGAAGGGAGAGAGGAAGAAAGAAAATGTGGCCCAAATCATCTACATAGGAAAGTTTTGCTCCCATGTAACAGATTTTATTTTTTGTCTAATTGACCAAATCAGTTCTTGCATCACTCTTAAAACTTTGAAGTGGATACATCATAAATGCACTGGTTACCTTTCAAAGCCAATCTGACGAAATGTCTTCTCCCATGTTGAGCCTAGGAAAAAAAAAGAAGAAAAACTGATTTAAGCACCTCAGATATTCAGTTTTCATCTGTTTTCTACATCCATGTTGGATATTTCATTTTGTTTTTTAGTCCAATAAAGAGATAATTAAGCCCTTATGACATACTTTAATTAGTCTGCCCATTTGTATAACAATATTAGTTGTTAAAGATTTGAGGAACAGTTATAATTATTTAAAAATGCTATTCAAATAAGTTTAAAATCTTTTTGAAATAATGGTAGATTGAATAACAGAAGATTAAATATAATGTGATAATAATATTGTGATCTTTAAAAAAATTGAAATGATTTCATGTCTGAGTTTCTACCAGAAGCTTCTTATTCTAAAATGCAATGTGACATGTGACATAAAATCATGTAAAAAAAAAACAAAACACTACCATGTTATGTCTCTCTACCTTGTTTTCCCTGATGCAAAGCAGTTGGCTACTTTCAAAATTATCCATAAATCTAATTATGACCCTAGCAGTGTAACATGATCCTAATTATTTTGTAAAAAAAAATAATAAAAAACACTGAAAATGCAAACTATAAACTATATAACTGAGTTCTTTAAGTTTTAATTTTAAATTTAATGTAACTGGTGATATATTTAATGACTGATGTCAATTAAAAGCTGGGAATATTCTTTGACATCTCAATATGATCCAGTTTACTTTACTACTTCAATTATTTTAATATTTCAGGTTTGCCCAATTTCTTCAGTATTGCTACTTCCTCCACTAATACTACCCCTTCTATATATGAAGAGATGATTTTCATGAGAGGATGAAGTCAAAACAACTGATTAACTGATAGTCAGTTCTCTGATGATGTTGAATTCTTTTGAAATTAGTTAGACTGCTCCTCAAATATGCAATACAGAGGCCTTCTCTGGGCCCTTACTCAAAGAATTTCCAACTTCTTAGGAATTATTAAGGATATTCTCTGATGAAATAGCTTTTAAGAACACAAGGACACCTCAATATTGGAATAGAATTCCAGCAGTGAGGACTCCTTTATTTCACTGATATTAAGTAATGATAATGCTCATTTTTTAGGCTTACTATTCTGAATCAGATGTTTTCCAGAGGCAATGGTTATGTTTCAAAGAGCATTAATCTTTCTATCTCTATGCCTTTTTATAGGTGACTGCCCCCACCCTCTGCCTCATAGAATCTTTACCTTCCTTTGGTTTACTTCAGTGAAAACTACCTATATTCCAAGACTTTCATGATTTCCTGCCCTCCCAATTGTTAGTGCTTTTACCCATTTGAATTTGTTTGCATTACATGGTATTTGCTATCTATATTCATGTTGCAGCCCCCTAGTAGAAGGTAAACTTCTTAAAGGCAAGGAATTTTCATTATTTTTACCTTGACAACTCTAGAGCCTAACACAGTGCTACATGTCTTAGAAGGTACTTAAAATATCACAACTGAATTTATCGGCAGTATGTCAAAATCAATAGCACAAGAATCAATGCTATGTTTTAATGCATCTACTGTGTTTTTTTTTAACCATTGGAAGATAAAGCTAATTCTTTATAATATGAACTGACTGTATGACTACTTAGAATTTGGCAAAATTATTTTTTCTAAAGTTCACCTTAATATGAATGTTCAGGTTTGAGAGATGACAAAATTCAATAAAATTGACATTTATGTTAAAATATGGCATAACATAAACCTGTGTGTTTAAGGGTGGAAATAGTGATTCAGTAACATTTCACCAGTTGAAATGTGATTAAGGAAATCATGCAGACTTCTGCATTGTATTAATACAATGTTACCTATTTAATAATTTTACTAGATTGGCACTTTCTCTCTATACACCCAGATGGCACGGCTGGATAGGAAATGAGTTCATATTACTTGTTCACTTTTTAAAGCTCTGGGCCCTGAAGAGATAGAAAGAGGAATAATACTAGCACCAGGTCTCTGCACTAATCATTCTATCAAGTGGGAATTTGCCTTTGTTTCACGCTTTGGATATGTCTTTCCTACAAATCTTTCTGATTTTTCTAATCACTTAGTGACTCCCGGGCACTATGATTCGCTAGAAAAAATGGAGAGTATGAAGTGGGGTAAGGAAATACTAGGACTGGGGAGGGTTATTCTTCTGGTTCTGGTGCTTTATGGGCAGATTCAATTAGCTTTTAAGGCATTTTCTCTGGGTATCCTTTGAAGAACAATTCACAGAATTACAGAATAATAAGGATGACCTCAGAGGTCACAATAAAAATGGCCATTTAGATAGTAATTTAAATTTGGTAAAGTATGATATATCATTTGATCCTTACAACTGCATATGGAAGGTATTGTCATTTCACAGATGAGTAAAATGAGGTTCAGAGAAACTTACTAATAGACACACAACTAACAGCTGTCAGAGACAGAGTTTGAATACAGACTTCCTACCCAAGTCCAGCACTCTATCTGGACTACAACTACACCATGTTACCTTTCATTAATCTAACCCATATCTAAATAAGAATTCTCTGTACAAAGTAACTGACAAGTGGCAATCCAGTTTTTTTTTCTCTTGAAGAATGAATCCTTATTAAAGAGAACCCACTACCTCTCATTCTTCTTCTAAAGGGATCTAATTCTACTGATACTGCCATCTTCTAAAACCCCCAAGGGTGTTGTTTTTAAACTGCTACTCCATATAGCTACATCTCTTCTATATCCAAAATAGAATTTCTGAACACAAGTCTAAAATTACATTTATCTACTTGAATTTAATTTTATTAGGATTAGTCAATGCTGTGGTCTATCAAGATTTTTTGGATACTCTATTATCCATCAGGTTTTCTAATTCTGTATCCTCTGAAAACATGTCTACCATCTATGTCTTTATCTTAGTCACTGACAAAATTGTTAAAAAGCATGGAGCCAAGCACAGATCCACAAACTACTTTACTATGGCCTTCCTACTAAACTGACATTGAACTATTAATACTACTCTTGGAACTGGTCAATCATTTCCAAGTATACTTGATCTTACTATGATCTGATCTACCTCTCTTTTCCAAATCTACAAGGATACCCTGAATGACTTTCTCAAATGCTTATCTGACATCTATATAAACCAAATCTATAGCCTTCCTCTGACAGTCTAGTGACACTGTCAAAAAAGTAAATCATTTGTTCTTGATGAAGCCATGCTGGCTTTTTGTGGCCACAGCTTCCCTTCCAAAATATTCCTTAACTATCTCTTCAATAATATATTGATAACTTTGTAAGAAATCAAAGTCAATCTCATTGGCTTATAGTTTGCACATTTTACCCTCTTTCCATTTTTTGAACTTGAGAAAAAATTTGTAAAATTTTCTGATCCTGAGGTACCCCTACCATTCCCCAGGATCTTTTAAAGATTATTTCTAATGGCTCAGCAATCACAGCATCCAATTCAATACCCTGGGTTGTAGTTCAATTGAGTCTGGTGATGTGAACTCAAAAAGAACATGTATTTCTTTTTTTTAATCTCTCTCTCTCTTTTTCTTGAGATTCAACTTTTAAAAACCATTTCCCTGACTTTTCTAGTTAAAAAATTCTTCTACCAAAGAAAACTGAAGCAAAACAACCATTTAGCCTTTTGTCCATCTCCTGCTATCATGATTTCAGCTAAACTGAACAATAGTCATTCCCTTCTTCTATTCTCCTTGTTTCTCCATCATAGAAATCCATTTTTGGATTGAAAAATAACATTTCCTGTCAGCCTCAGCTTATTCTGAGCTTTAGTGCCCCATAATTCTTCTTACAGGAATATTTCGTAATTTGGTGTTGTTCTTGCATGGCCTGCTCTTTCTTGATGGCTTTTTAAGTTTCTAGGTGAACTCTTTGTGCATCCTCATTGGTTTATGCTAACAACTTCTTTTCTTTTTATTTTGAATTGTTTCTAGTTTTTAACTCAAAATTTCACTTTTGATAGCTTCTCATCCATGCAGGATTTTAGTTTATGGAATGCCACATGTATCTATTCATTTTCTAAATCCTTTTAAATCTGCTCTTCAAAAATCTAGGGTGCAAATCGAATTGTGTTTGGCTTTTTTCTCCTTTATCACAAATTTTAAGAGATATGGACACTCACCCTCTAAAGGGTCCATATTATTTGGATTTAAAAAAACCTATTCTTTTTTATTCATAAAAATAAGATCCAGAATAACAGTTCCCTTTGATGGTTTCTTCAATTTTTTGGAGGATGAAATTATCAGTAGGATGAGTTAAGAAAGTATCTGCTATTGCTTTGGGTTAATAGACAGAGTTCCAGCAAATACTGGGATAATTAGAGTCTCATAATTAGTATATCATGCTCCTGTACAAGGCTTATGAAATATTTCCCATCTTTTCATTTATATGTTCTACTTCTTTTGCCCAGGTGGTATTTATTATATTTCTATGAGAATATGGATGCTGTTTCTTCCTCCACTAAACAATAAGAATGTCTGGATATTCATACTTTGGCTAGGAATTAAATATTTTCATGACATATTTTTACCAAGTTAAAGCATATTTCAACTGACAAGCTTGCATACTGAAAAAAATGCATAGTATTAATAAAAGAGTGAGTTCTTTGCCTCTCAGTCTTCTGGCACCAACATTGCTTATTTTTTTTTAAGTAAACCTCCACCCTGATAGTCATCCAGCCTGGTAACCTCAATATACATTGACACATTCCCTCAAATTCAGTTGCATTTATTGGCATTACAAAGTTAGCACAACATAGTGAAAAAAGCTTTTACTACTAAGTGAGGAGAAATTCTGACTTTTTGTTTTTACAGACTACCTGCCTAACTTTGTGCAAGACTCTCTCTGGGACTTCATTTCTCCAGTAAGGGGGTTGGATGACAGAGGCCCCTTCAGACTCAAAATCTGTGACCTTATGATCTTACATCTTCCCTCCTCTCCACTCACATTGATACCACACTAGTTGAGGTTTTTATTATTAGTGACCTAGATTATCATAATAGTCTTAATTGGTTGCCTTA